AGAGAAATCATAAGAGACTTATTAAGATTGAACTGTTTACATTCCTGCATGGAAAGATGATATTTATAACTCATGAGACCTTTGTCAGTATCAGGGTAGTTGGAGGAAAAAAATTATATGTATGTATATGTAGATAGATAGATAGAGAGGCACAGGGTGAGCTGAAGATTAAGGGGTCATATCTGGAGAATAAAATTAAGGGATGAGAGAGGATTATACTCGGAGAAGAAGAAAGGGAGAGGTAGAATGGGGTAAATTATCTCACAAAAAAAAACAGAAAAGTCTCTTACAGTGGAAGGGGAAACAGGGGAAGGTGAGAGGGAATGAGTGAATCTTATTCTCATAGGATTTGGCTTAAGGAGGGAATAACATACACATTCAATTGGGTATGGAAATCTGTCTTACCCTACAGGAAAATAGGGGGAAAGGGGACAAGAGAGCAGGGGATGATAGAGAGGAGGGCAGATATTGGGAAAGGGGTTAATCAGAAGTAAATACTTCTGAGGAGACAGGGTCAAAAGAAAGAATGGAATAAATGGGAGGGCAGGATAGGATTAAGGGAAATAGAGTTAGTTTTTCACAACATGTCTACCATGGATGTGTTTTACATAACTGCACATGTACAACTTATATTGAGTTGCTTGTCTTTTCAATGAGGGTGGGTGGGGAGGGAGGAAGAGAGAAAATTTGAAACCTAAAGTTTTAAAAACATATGTTTAAAAAAAATGTTTTCACATGCTACTGGGAAATAAATATAGGAAATGGGGTACAGAAGTCTATCCTGCCCTACAGGAAAATAGAAGGGGAAGGGGATAAGAGAAGGGGAGAGAGATATAAGAGAGGACAGAGTAGGGGAAGGGATATTCAGAATGCATGACATCTTGGGGTGGGGGGAGGGGGGAGATGGGGTGAAAATTTGGAACTCAGAAACTTGTGGAAGGGAATGTTGAAAACTAAAAATAAATTTATACATTAAAAAAAAAGAATGAGGGAGGTAGATAACATGACACTGTCATGTTTATTGGGCTTCCATCAATGGTTGTTGCTTAAAGAAATGAGATAAAAATGCAGATCGACATTAATGTAGCTGAAAATTATAAATCAGCTTTTCTAATGAAAGAAATGCACTGGATTCACCATCAGATTTGTGGCATGTAGACTTTGCTGAACTGTGCAGTTTTTTTTAAATTTTTCCAGGGTAGAAACATATTGCAACTAAGCAAAATATTCAGGTGCATTGGTGGCAAGTCATTTGCATTATTAAGCATTAGATAGATAAAGAGAATTATTAATGAAGCCCATTTTCCATCATTCTTGTGTGTTGGTGGAGGTAGCCACCAATCCACCATACTGGCTTGGAGCCTTCACTGTCACCTATGTAAGTTGACTTATCACAAAATAAATACATATGTGCAACGGAAAACAACGTTTTCTGACATTAACGATATGTCCGTCCTTAGCCACTTACAAGTTCTGCAACCTTGGTCAAGTCACTAAACCACTCTGAGCTTCATTTTCTTCATCTGTAAAATGGGAATAATAATAGCACCTAACAAGGTTTTTACTGGGAGACTCAAATGAGATATGTATTTAAAGTGCTTTGAAATCCTGATGAAAACATCAGCTATTATTACTATTATTAGTAATTTAGCCTTAAAAATAGTCATAGTAGCAAAATTAGTAAAACTTAGTATTAATACATTAGTATCAAAAAAGTAGATTTTGGAAATGTCTTCTTGTAGATACTTCTCTCCCTGCTGTAGCGCCTTGAGTATAAAATACAGACTCATTATTCTGTTATTTAAAGGCTAATAAAACTGGTCCCCATACAACCTCGTCTCATAACACTGGTCTTTATGTACTGCCCCACCAGACTATTTCCTGACTTTCTCTTGCCCAATGCGTATGCATCCTGTGTTCTGTGCGTTGCTACGCAGCATCTTCTATTCATGAATTCTCCTCAAAGCTTCATCTATTGAGGGGAAAGTACCTCGCCCATGAAACCTTCCTTCATTCTGTCCCAGGGAGAAGCAATTCCTTACTCCTAAGCTCTCTGATGCTGCTCTGATTAGACCTCATCTACATGCTTACCATATTAAAACTTGTATTATAATCATTTGTCTTAGCTTTCCTTCCAGATTGTAAACTCCTTGAGGGAAGAGTGTTGGTTTTCATCTTGGTGCCCCCAGCACCCACTGAAATGCTTTGTAGGTTCTTTTTTTTTTTTTGATCTAGGCAATGGGGTTAAGTGACTTGCCCAGGGTCACACAGCTAAGTAAGTGTTATGTGTCTGAGGCCGTATTTGAACTGAGGTCCTCCTGAATCCAGGGCCAGTGCTCTATCCACTGCGCCACCTAGCTGCCCCTTTGTAGGTTCTTGATAAATGTAGAAATATTAAAGTTATATTTCTAGGACACTTTCCTTTTAATTTTTTTTTTGGGGGGGAGGCAATTGGGATTAAGTGACTTGCTCAGGGTCACACAGCTAGCAAGTGTCTAATGCCATGTTTGAACTCAGGTCCTTCTGATTCTAGGGGTGCTCTCTCCACGTGCCACCTAGGATACTTTGCTAGAAAAACATTCAGTGAAAGAAGATGTTGCCCACAGGACTTTATGCTGCCGCCATTAATATAAATGCCATGAAGCAAAAACATCAAATTAAAAAAAACAACAACAGTAACAACCTACAACACAATAGAAGTTCTATAAATTTTTTAAAACTCCAGAGGGAAGGGAGGAGCCCTTCTCCTGCCTAATCAGGATTCAGCTCTGAGGCATCAGCGCTTTTCCTAGGAGATAGATTATTATATTTTTCCTTCTAGTCATATATGCTTCTAAGAAGTTTCCTGGAATTTCAGCTAAGGATTCCAGATGTTCCAGCAGTAATTTTCAAGATCTTTTAGCTTTTGCTCATGTGGGAAGGAGTGGCCCAAGAGGATAAAAATAACAACTACAGCAACAACCATTGTAACTAGCATTTATTTAGGTTTGCATAGTTTGCTTACATAGATCATCTCATTTGACACTCAAAACATCCATGCAAGGTAGGTGCTATTACTGTCCCCATTTTACAGATGAAGAAACTGAGGCAGACAGAGATCAAATGACTTGCCTAAGGTCACACAGCTATTAAATGTCCAAGGCCAAATTGGTACTCAGGTCTTTCTGAATCTAGATTCAGTGCTCTATCTGCTCCCTACATCAGTTAGCTGCCTATATAATATAGTCTCTAAGTATAATCTAATAGGATTCACATAAAAATATAACATAAGAGACAAACATACTCGTATACTTCCTTGGAATTGTGATCTCTTTGGTGTGGGTCCCCTCCTCCATTTATATGGATCCCAATCTATGCTGTGCGTTTATTGGATAAAGGAACTGGGACTTAAGGGGGGAGGGGTGCTTAGCCCAGAGATGAGAAGTTTAAGGGTGAAGGCAGATGAATGATTGAAAAATAATATAACTGAGTTGAGGGACACAGTTTCTTGGAGGAAATGGTAATTTTCTTGATTATAGATTCAGAGTTGAACAGAATGAACAGACATGGATGGATTATGATCTAGATCAGTGGAAGGGGTATTCATACCCAAGAGGTCACGTATCTACTTGAGCCTTGGTTAATGTTTCCTCTCATTTACACTTATCTATAATATAAGTTGTTGTGTTTTTTTTTATTAACCCCTAGCTTAACTTTAATGGGAAAATCTCCTAGTAGAATAAAGTGGGATCATGGGAAATATTCATCAAAAGAGTCTAATTTCTTGAGAAACATTGCAAAATCTGTTGGGCATTTAAAGCCCTTCATAACTGGCCCCTTCCTATCTTTTCTAGGCTTATTAGTCCTTATTCCCCTCCATGCATTCTGTCATCCAGTGACAATGACTTCCTTCCTGTTCCTCACATATAATACTCTGCATTCTGATTCGAGCATTTTCACTGGCTGCCCCCATTCTTGGAATGCTGTCCCTCATCTCTGCCTTCTGTCTTCCCTGGTTTCTTTCAAGTCTCAGTTTCTTTCAACTCCCAACTTCCATAGTGGCTTTTCCTAATCCTCCTTAATCTTAGAACTTTCTTTCCCCATCTCCCATCTCCTCCACCCCCTTACTTCCAATTTATCTTTTATGTATCCTGTTTGAGGTGGCAGTTAGGTGGCACAGTGGATAGAGTACCAGGCTGGAGTCAAGAAGACTCCTCTTCCTGAGTTCAAATCTGGCCTCAGGCACTTCCTGTGTGACCCTGGGCAAGTCACTTAACCCTGTTTGCCTCAGTTTCTTCATCTATAAAAATAAGCTGGAGAAGAAAATGGCAGTATCTTTGCCAAGTATCTTCAGTATCTTCAGTATCTTTGCCCAGAAAACCTAAAGCAGAGTCACGAAGAATTGGACATGACTGAAACAAATGAACAGAAATCTTGTTTGTATATAATTTGCATTTTGTCCCTCCCATTAGACAGAGAAGGGACTTTTTTCACTCCTTCTTTGTGTTCACAACACTTAACATAGTTCCTGGCATAAATTAGGTGCTTAATAAAGCTAATTGACTGAATTTTTAAAAGTGTTACTTCATCTTTCTTTGTGGTTATTCAGTTTTTCCATTGCATCTGACTCTTCACGACCCCATTTGGGTTTTTCTTGGCACAGGTACTGGAGTGGTTTGCCATTTCCTTCCCCAGCTCATTTTATAGTTGAGGAAACCGAGGCAAACAGAATTAAGTGACTTGCCCAGGGTCACACAGCTAGTAAGTGCCTAAGATTGATTTGAACTCATGAAGATGAGTCTTTCTGATTCCCAGCCCAGTGCTGTATTCAATGTACCACCTACTTAGGAAAACATTTTGCCTCTAGGAAGAAGCCAACTTGTCTTAATCCTGTGTGTTGTTTAAGGCTCATGTCAGAATACTGTTAAAGGACCAATGATCATTTGAATACTTCTTAGCTGATTAAATGTTTTTGTACTATGGTTACCTAACAAATAACTCTTATCTTTTTAATATTGCAGTCTACGCACGTTGACCAGGCGAGCTTCCAAGTTGATGCTTTTGGATCAACTTTCATTCTTGATGTTGTCCTCAACCAGTAAGTATTTTGTCATCTGGGAATGGTTTTTTAGTGTCACTCTAATTTCACCTTCTGATTTTTTTTTTTTGTTAAATTGCACGGTCTAGATATTCCTCTTAAGTTTTCTTCATTGTTAACGCCTCAAATTCCCCTTATCTGCTGTAAAGATAATGCAGCAGTTTTATGTCAGCTCCATGAAGTCAAGGACAGAATTTTATTTGTTTTTGTCACCAATGATGGCTTTGTAGGTGAATGAATAACTATTGAATAAACTTGAGTTGGAAGGTTAATATGAAGTAATGAATGCTGGATGCTGGACGGCTATAATGTCATTGAGGGATTGGGACTGTACTTGTGATTTCATTTTTCTTCTTTGCATGGTCTTAGCAGTAAAAAGTTAAATAATTTGCCAGGTTCACACAGCCAGTATGTGTCAGAAAGAAGTGAGACTTGAACCTGGGTCTTCTGGTTCTGGGGCTTGGTTAATAGAATTGAGATTGCAATATAATTTAGCACTTTAAAATTATAAGACAAAAGTCATTTCACTCCTTGAGGTTGTTGTCTCCAGTCCTGAGGGGATATAGGTGATATGTATGTCTATGATCTTTATATGCAGATGAAAAAGTCTCATCTTAACCTTGCATCTCCCTCAGTACCTAGAATAGGGCTCTGCACTGAGCAGAGCATTTTATAAATGTTTGATGTTGTTTGTATCTAGGCCAATCCAACCAGCACTGTTGAATTCTGTGTTAAGCTCTGATAGATCCTGTGCTCTTCAGAGAAATGTATAAAGGACCATTGCAGGAAAACAAAGGTTATCTCTAGCATTAGGTGGAAATAGAGGAACAAACCAAAGACTAATTGGCATGATGATGGGAAATGTTTTGATAAGACAGTCATTACTGGAGAAATATTGACATTACAACAAATATGGAAGAAAAATTATACTATAAATTGAGGTTGACAGGATCGAGAAAGATGAAAGGTATTATTTTTTGAGGATGGAACTATGCTAAATATATGCTTATCCTGTGTGGACAATATCTCCTTACTTAGATTGTAATAGCAATTATGATTCAATAAATATATTTTTCTTCACTTAGATGGAACATTTTGTACTTTTGGTTTTATGTTGGTTAAAAACCAAAAAGGTGAGATGTCTAACATGTTTCTTAATAAGGGCTTCCAATGAAGTGCTGCTTGTGCTCATAATTTCTTAAAGGGAGACAAATCAGACTGAAATTTGTATTTGTAGCTGGACTCCACTTACAAATGGACCCAACAAAACACTTTCATATTGGAGTAGAAAGGAACCATTAAGTAACATTTTAAAAAGTATATTCAGTAGGGGGTAGCTAGATGGCACAGTAGGTAGAGCACCGGCCCTAGAGTCAGGAGAACCTAAGTTCAAATCTCACCTTAGACACATAATACTTACTAGCTGCGTGACCCTGGGTAAGTCACTTAACCCCATTGCCTCACCAAAAAAAAAAATCAGTAAATAAAGTTGGCTTGTAACTTTATAAGTTATAAGGTTTTGGATCAACTTTCATTCTTGATATTGAGAGAATGTTTCTTTGGGATCTGAAAAAATGGTGATTCTATTTAGAGTTGTAACAATAAGAGTTCCAACTTAAATGTTTATAGGTGGCAGATGAAGAGTAGAGAAAGTTAGAATAGGAAAGTATGATTGGTGCAGCTTCTGCTAACATGATAAGGAAAATGATAGGAAACAGTGTCTAGCACTTAATAGGGTCACACCTATAGTTATGCATTGTCAAAGGCAGAAAAATTAAAAATCATATGATAGCCTAAAAACAGCAATAGTAATAATAATAATAATAATAATAATAATAATAATAATAATAATTGATTATCTTTATATAATACTTTAAGGTTTAGACTGTATTACCTCATTTGATTTTTCACAGTGGTCCAATGTAAATTATGCGGCGAGTAAATGGTACTAGTTAACATGAAATAGAGAGAAATTAGCCAAAGGACAATATACATGGAAATAGTGCGGCACCGTGGAAAGAGCTTTGACTTGGAAGCAAAGGTTGGCTCTAGGTTTACATCCTGACTCTGAAGTTTACTCCTTGTGTGACTTTGGGCAAGTCACAACCTCCCTGGGCCAGTTTCTTCATCTGTAAAAATGAGGTGTTAGACTAGATTGTCTCTGAAGTCCCTTCCTGTTATAGACATACGATCTTAGGTATTTTCTTGCCCTAAACTGTCTTGCCTGAGATATTCAAGCTGCATTCATTTTCCCCTAAATCATTTCCCTAAACTCTTTGAAATACAAAATGAAAGTGCCTTCTTTAAGATTTCCTGATACTTTCACAAAATGTCAAAGAATAGATATATATACCTAGACTTGAAAACTTCTGCTTATGTCAAACTCTAGTGTCTCGTCATGACATGGAGGTGAGGTTGAGGGTCTTCAAGTCTGTGCCACTGGACTAAAGCCCTAAATTGGAGTACAAGCTCATCATTGAGCTGTTTATCACTTTAGGATCAGCCGAGGCAAGAACCGGAAGGTTGGAGGCCAAAGGACAAATTCTTTTAAACCAGACCAGCTCACTAATTTGGGTCCTAAAGCATGGAATAAGGATTGTAATCTTCATATATAGAAAAAGTACCCTCCCTGATAAAATCGGAGGTACTTAAAGCATTAAAGAATTGTCCTTAATTTGCTTCTTTCATAATTGTGCAGACACATTGTGTATCCAGTGGCTAGCTGTTCTAGAAATCAGAGGTGATGAAATGTACTGGAAAGTAGGCCAAACTGTTTGCAGATGGTCAATTCCAATCCTGCTTTCCCTTTTTTGTGCAAAATCATCATTTCTCCAGCAGGCCCGTTGTGGCTCCTGGAATTTGCCACTCGGTGGTAAAGAGTACATTCTTATATTCAGGACAAGGAGCTAACAAGTGATTTCACTGGCATGGGGAACTGCATCTCCTGATGTAAGTCAGTACTTTCTCTGCAACTTACAGCCTTTGAGAGCTGTCTGGAGCTCTCAGATATTCAGTGACTCCATTGCCCGGGGTCACAAAAGTCAGTATGTTAGAGATGGGACTTGACTCCAGCTCTCCTGGGTTCTGAGGTCAGCTTTAGACATTATGTCATGCAGTCTCTCTCACAATGTACTTAAAAACAGGAGAATTGTTGTCTGATCCCTAGATCATGAATATTTCGTCTCTAAATTATTTTTGTAAGTTGGTCATTTGGCCTGTGAGAGAGGCAGTGTGCACTCTGCCTAGTGGATAGAGAGCCAACCTTGGAATCAGCCAGAACTGAGTTGACATTCTACCTCTGACACACATTGGTTGTGTCCCTCTGGGTAGGACATTTAGCCTCTCGATGACCCAGGATCCTCTCAAGTTTGCAGAGTAGGTACCTATTTTCATTTTATCTGTGGAAGTTCCCTCGACTGATGAAATCACAAGTCTGGTCCAAAGAAGAGAAAACAAGTAGCCAGTTATTTCAGTAACAACAAGAAATAGTCTTTCTTTCATTCTCTGACTCCTCCTCTGACATTCTTCTCTTCACATCTTCATTTTTCTCATACTTTCCAGACTGGGAGCCCAGAGTAGAACTCAGACATGGTAGTTGTCAGGTGCCAAATGAGTAAAGTTCTATGTTGGGAGGGAGGTGGAAGGAGGGAGGAGGAAGCAGGGAGGAGGGAGGAGGGAGCAGGGAGCAGGAGGGAGGGGGGAGAAGTGACACCAAGGTCAGGTAGGAGAGAGCAGAGTCAGACAAAGCACTGGAAAGTAAACCAAACTGTTTGCAGATGGGCAACTCCAGTCTTATTATCCTTCTTTTATGCAAAATCATTGGTTTTTTGCCAGGCCATTATGGTTCCTGGAGCCAAACAAGAAGTCTGGGGAAAGGGTCCTGAATTCACTGGCTATCCTTGGCTTGTAGAAGAGTCCCAAGGTGGCCACGAAGGCTCTATGTAATTGGCCCAAGGTGATGATTCTGATGATAATAAAAAAACCCAAGTAATCATCACACCAATGATTATAATAATTTAATGATGGCATTGATGGGGCAATAAGCTACAATAGATCTCTTGCCATAGCTAGTAAGTACAATCGCCATTTTTTTCAGGTCCCAAAGAAACTTTAGAGAGCATCATTAAATAGATGGGGAAGCAGAAGCCAAGAAAGGTTGTTTGTAATTGTGTGCCTATATCAAAGTGATTGTGGTGGAAATGTTTTTATTCATCAAAAATGCCTGTTTTCGCTAGCATTTATGTGAAACTTAAAGGTTTGTAAAGCATTTTATGCATCTTATCTCATTTAATCTTCACAACAACTCTGTGAGGTAGATGCTACTATTTTAACACTTAGGAAATTGAGGCTTGATAGAGGTTAAGTGACTTGCCCAAGATTCCTTAGCTAAGAGTCCAAAGTAGGATTTGAACTCGGGGCTTCCTAATTCCAAGTCTAACAGTCTATCCATTGATCCATCTAGGCTCCTCTTGATGAGGTGTGTTCTTGATCTTTTTATGTTTTTTTTTGTGCGTGTGGGGGAGGCTGTGAGGCACTTGGAGTTAAGTGACTTGGCCAGGCTCACACAACTAGTAAGTGTTATGTGTCTGAGACTGGACTTGAACTCAGGTCCTCCTGACTGCGGGGCCAGTGCTCTATCCACTGTGCCACCTAGCTACCCCTTGACCTTTTTATGTCATAGATGCCTTTGGCAGTCTGTTGAAGCCTATGGACTCCTCAGGATAATGTTTTTAAAATAAAAGGAAATGGCAAATTTCAGTTAGGGGTGAAAGAAAGAAAGAAAGAAAGAAAGAAAGAAAGAAAGAAAGAAAGAAAGAAAGAAAGAAAGAAAGAAAGAAAGAAAGAAAGAAAGAAAGAAAGAAAGAAGAAAAAAGATAAAATGTTTTCATATACAAGTTCATGGACCCGCTGAAATCTATCTGTGAACTCCAAGTTTAAAAACCCCCTGCTCTAAATATTAGTAGTTACAATATCTACTATGTACTAACAGGGGAAATCTATCACAGGAATGGATGGCTCACTTCCCATGGAGCTGGGCATGTGCTCTGGACAAGCTCAACCCCCAACACACGTCCCACATGCATCCCTTGCTCCAGTCCACCCCCACCACTTAAAAGGAACGTAAATGAAGTTCTCTGCTTTCTAGGTTGATATATCAGACATTCACACACTTAAAAGTTAAGTTACAATGAAAGGTTGTATATGATTAGCCTTGTAATAAGCTACATTAATTCCAAGAAGTGAATCATTGGAAATAATCAAAGAGGATGGTCAGATAAGCCTGGGAAAGGGTGAAATTTGAAGGATAGGCACAATTTGAATGGGTAGAAGCAAAAGGGGATTAAGGGTAGAAGGGAAAAAAGTAAACAAAGACTTGTAGCTGGGAATAAGCATAGAATATTCTCAGAATAATGAGAAGACCAACTTTTAAAAATAATATTTTATTTCTTTCCCCAATTAGAAAACTAACTTAGTTATAGTAGAGTTTACATATAGTTGATGAAAAGGGGAGCGATATAGGTCAAGGGACAAAAGGTTAGATATGTAGGTTAGAGATGAAGACCCTTGAATGCCAGACTGAGGAACCTGGATATTATCTTACAGGCATTGAGACGGCATTGGAGATTTTAAAATTGCAAAAATCAAAATTCATCCATTGTATTAGTAGGAGAAACACTAATAAGTACATCTGTCTTTGAAACTGGCATTTTGGTGTCTATATACTTGTGACATTTAAGCAAACTTGAAGTGATAACAAAAAAAAAGGTGCAGGTATACCCAGAATTGATTTCCACATTCATTAGTATGTGGAAGCATTTATTAGGTAAATAGTCCTTTAATCCTTCAATGTCTATTTTTATCCTGTGCCTAACATAGTGTTTTGTACATAGGGGTATGTACTGGACCTGTGATTTCAATAGGGAAATCCCTCTACCAATACAAACCAGAACCTTATTTTACAACCTGTCTTCTTAGGGAATTGCCTAGAGCATTGAAAGATGAAGCATCTGTCTAGGGTCACGCAGCTAGTGTGCATCAGAAGTAAGATTCTTCCCTAAGTCTTCCGGGCTTCAAGGCTGGATTGATTGATTGCAGACAGCTGGCATTAATACACATTTACTAAATTGAATTAGCCACTATAATTATTGTGGGACGGAAAGCTAGGCTTGCTACGTCTCAGTGTGTAAATTATCTTCTAAATAGTATTAAGGACTTCCAGTCTTTTCTTAGCATCTGAACTCAGCCCTCCCTCACTTAAATCCAACTCACTCGCTTGTCCGGCATCACCTCTCTGATGTCAAGGTCCTCTTCAAGAGCAAAGGACAAATGACAACAGTAGCTTGAGAGCAGAAAGGTAATTCAACCAAAGAAAAATAGATAAGCTGAAGGAGATAGTGTTTCTAGTAAAAAGATAAATCAGTAATTTTTACAAGTTATCTCTTGGTCTTATCACTCTTGATATCAATGCTAATTGGGCCATGTAATAGAAAATACTTTGAGACCAGGATCTGTGATTCCTCCCCTCCCCGTGGTTCCCTCCCTCTATAGACACAGATACAAACTTAACCAACTTTTTGAGTAGCCGAGCCAGAAATCCATCCCCTTGCATCCAACCTGGTGATGAAATCTTTGTCCTTGGCGGGGCTGATTTCTCAACAACAGAAGTAGGGGTAGCCATTGTACCGGTGCCCAAAATTTTGGTAGAGTCTGTCAGGGCTTGAGATTTGCTTGCTTAGCCTTTGAGAACCCAGAGTCCTTTTTCATACCACAGTGAGGTGTCAGAGGAGGGCTTCAGTGGAGACTAAGTACGCAAACCAAATATTAGCTTACTTAGCTAGGCAGAGGCTTGGCTTCAAGAATAGGCATGCTACTAACATAGCTTCCTGAAATCTCCATGCCCCTGGGATCTTAGGTTCTCCACACCAAAAAATGAGCAAAGTTTGTTGGAATGTCACATTTGGAAGAACGTTCTCATTGTAGTTGTTTCAGGAGCCAATGAAAAAGATCATATTGCTTGAATGTATAAGGAATGGTAGTGCACATCAGACGCTTACCACTTGTATGACCTTGGACCAGTCACTTAACTTCCTTGAGAATCACTTTTCTCATTAGTTATGTAACAATGGGATTTAGAATTCTCGGTAGTCAATGCAAATACCTGTTAGAAAAAAAAAAAGCAAATGTGTAATTATTTTGTGCTTTAAAAAAAATAAGTGGAAAAATAAGGTAATTTGGGTCTCATAGATTCAGGCCAGTAAGAAAAGTTTTTATATGATCAAGTGTCACAGGACCACAAAGGAAGTTATGAAGAAAATATTCTTCAAAACTTATATTTTAGTATAGGTAGATATAGGTAGATAGGTAGATTCATCTGAGTTTTTAAAAAATATTCAAAGTACTAAATACTTTAAATGTGGTTCGTGAGAGATTATAGTAGATTAAAAACAAAGCCATCTGTTTGGCTGAGATCAAACATGGAGCCTACCTTGACAGTTTCCCTTGCCTTGGTAGGAAGCAGTAATCAGAGTAATTGGGTGTGACTCTCCGTAGTAAATTGAAAGCTTGGCTCTGATAGCAGAGCATTGGAGGGAGCACAGGCACTGGAGTTAGGTCAGAAAAGAATTACTACCTGTGCGACCTTGGACAAGTTACTATACTTACTAAATAGTGAAGGGTTCAAAGAGGAAACTATAAAAAGACTAGAAGATTCCATCAAAGATTATGATGGTACAGATGCTGCCTATCAAAGTCTGTGGGATTGGAGCCAAAGCAACACTTAGACATGAAGCCACAGCTTTGAAAGCATCCTTTACAGGAATTCTAGTAAAGGAATTTCCTCACTTATAAAAAGAGATGACGGGTGAGATCTCTTCTAAACTCCTTTCCAGTTCTAAATCTATGATCCTATAATGGTTCAGATCCTTCGAACCACATTAACTGTGTAACTGCAGGCCAGTCATTTAAACTCTGTGAGCCTCAGTCTTTCATCTGTAAAATGGGGATAATTCTATTTTCACTACCTACCTATCAGGGTTGTTTTGGGGAAAGTGCTTTGTAAATTTCAAATCACTATGTAAATAGGAGTGATTATTATTATATAGATTTATCTCATTCTAAGAAAACAATTTGCACTCAAATAAAAAGTACTAAAACATATTTGGGAGGTAGCTTTACATGTTATAAAATATTCTTTACTTTGCAAAATGATTTGATTCTTTCTAAATTGAGAATTTAAAAATTCTGTTTCTAAACAGAATTTATTTAAATGAAACTTTTCAGGGATACATTTATTGCATAAATGAGGCATACATATATGGGAGGCAGCACTGCATTTGAAATTAAAATATTTGAAATTAAGGGGTTCAAAGTTCACAGTTATGCCTTGTATGACCTTGGGCAAGACACTACAACTGTATTAATAAGCAAAGATCGTAAGATCATAGTTGGACCTGAAAGGAACCTCAAAGATCATATATTTCAGCCCTTTCATGAGGCTCAGGGATATGAAATGACTTGCCCGAGGTTATACAGATAGCATCAAAGGCAGAATTTGAATCGGAGACCTTCACCTCCAAAGTCAGTGGTCTTTTTCATTATATCTGCCTCTCTGCATTCTCTCTCATCTTTGGTTCTTTCAAGGATAGTCAGGGGGTATAATAGCAATACAGTGGGGAAGCTGATGTAAAGCAATAACCAAGACGTCCTGGATCTCTTTCCTCGTATCTGCTGGCTTCAAGAAGCCTTTGTGTGGGAGAGAGGTTGATAGACTCACCAGAAATATGAGTTGTAGCTGCTTACTTCTCTCCCTCTCTCTGCCTTGACTTTCTAATTGTGAGAACATACATTTTTTGTGATTTGTTTTTTGAAATACAGAAAAATTCCTAACATTTGACAGCTCAGTGACCCCAGACGAAGATTTGCCATTTTGGTCTGTTGCTGTCAGAGGCTGGAACCTTCGAATCGTAGGAAACCTGAAAGTGACTTCATCTCCGCATAGAATCTCACCTAAAATCATCCCAACCAATTTTGTTTTTGAGATTATATTTTGTTTTTGAAAATACAAAACAGTGGAGAAATCAATGACTCTCTAATCCATTTTTTCCTGGGAACAACCTTCATCTTTTAAAACAATTTTCATTTGTATTAGGAACTTAGCAATCATCCACAAACATTTCAGTAAAGGACAACAAAGAGGGGTGAATATGAAACCCTGAACTTCTCTCCAGTTTGGTTTTTAAAAGTGGATTAAGTTTAGCCAAGTGGTAACAAAACTGCCCTTTATGGACCACCTTTTGAACTTCTGAGGTGAGAACTCTCATCTTAAAGAAACTTATACAGAGGTCCCAGTCCTTCCTCTGCAGTTCAAGACCATGTTTCCCTTCAGTTTCATTGTTAATGGAAATAGAGAACAGCAGATACCCTTTCTCTATATAGTAACTCTCTGCATACTGAAAGGTTATTATTAAGTCACTCTTCAATCTCCTTGCCAATCTTTGCTGCTGAAATTCCTTTACTCCCTTCTAAATTATAGAATGATTGAGCAGTACGGTGGGAGGGACATTAGAGAACATCTAATCTGGTTCCGTTATTTTACAGATGAGGAAACAGAGCCAGAGCAATTAAGTGACTTGCTCCTTGAGGCAGAGAAGTGTCTTAAGGGACACCCACAATTAGTGCGCATGAAATGAATGACAATTCAGCAAAAGAGACTGAGAAGTAGCATTCCCACAGATAGGAGGCAAACCTGAAAAGAGCTATGTCATGAAAACCTAGAAAGGGGGAAAGAATCCAGAAGGAGATGGATATCATTGGTGCCAAAGGCTGCAGAGAGGTCAAGAAGGCTCAGGATTGAGAAAAGCCCATTAGAGTGGTCAATGAAGAGAGTGAATAGTAAACTTTCACCACGGTGAGTGTGGAGATGGCCATTTCTGTTGAATAATGGGGCAGGAAGACAAACCGCAGAGATTTTAGAAACAAGTGAGAGGAGAAGGAAAACATAAATGGCTTTCCACAGGAGTTTAGCTGAGGAGGGGGTAAGATATTGAATGCTAGTGGGTGGGTATGGTAGGATCTAGTTAAGGTTTGTTTTTTTAAGGATGGCAGACTTGGGGTATATTTATAGGCAACAGGGAAGGAGCCAGTAGACCGTGAAAGAATGAAGAAAATAGAGAGTGGGGATGACAGAGGAGACAATCTGATGGAAAATAAGGAAGAGGAAGAGATCAAGGTTATGTGTAGAGGAATTGACCTTGATAATAGAATGACCATCTCTTTATGCAAATCAGGGTTTAAAGGGGAGGTTGTAGGGGCTGATGTCAGACAGATGTGAGATGAGGAGGCAAGGAGAAGAGAAGAATCTCAATTTTTTTCAGTGAATTATTAAGCCAGAGTCCTCAGCAAAAGAGGTGGGGAGGAGGGAATGGTGTGGGAGGCTTGAGAGGAGAAGAAACGGTGTGGAGCAGCCACTAGGGAGGGTAGCCTAGGGAACTGATTAGAGAAGGAGGAGGGGGGGAGAAGGGGGAGGAGGAGGGGGAAGATGGAGAGGGAGGGGGGAGGAGGGAGAGCAGGATTGCTTTGCTCTACTGAGGCCCCTGTTGGGATTAGTTAGCATAAATATGTAGTGGACCCAGAACAGCTTGCTTTCCATTAGTGCACCCTTTTATTATATGGTATTTTCTACCCCTGGAATAATTTCATGGGGCTCTATGACTGCCATAGTATAATCTACATGTCTGATATTTTGACCTGTAGAACTAAATCCAGTTTTATAAAGTTTGATTAATACTGAGCATAACAAAAGTGAAGGTTCACCATGAGAAGAAGAAAAAGGAGAAAGGGAAAGAAGGAGGGAGGAAGCAGGGGAGAAGGAGAAAGGGAGGAGAAGAAGAAATAACATTGAGCATTTTGGGGTTTGTAGACTGCTTTTCATATCATCTGATTTGAGCCTATCCACTATCTTATGAGGTAAATACTACAAATATCTTCATTTGGTGAACTAGAGGTTAAATGACTTGCTGTGCCCTTAAGTAATGGAAGGATTTAAATTAAGCACCGTGTACCCCCTTAGTTCCATCTCAGTGGGGTTTGGCTAGAACTTCACACTCACTTTGATCTCTATAACTCTCATCCTTTTCCCCTCTCAACTTTCTTGGCAATTTATAGACAATGCATAGGGCATGGCCAAGTTTCCTGAGACCTATACTCGTTTGAAGTCTGTAGAGGCATTCTAGTTCAAAGACCTTTTCTACAGGCTTGTTCTACAGGCTTTTAATCAATTGATTAAGTCACCAGAACTAAAATTGGGTAGAGTGGTTTTGACCTCATCCTTACACAAACAGCATCTTTGCCTTTAACATTATAGTGTCATATTTGCGGATTCATTGTCTGTAGCTGTTTGCTGTCAACCACTAATATACATCTTTACCTGTACCTACCCTTGCTCTAAGTAGGGACAGTCTTCATACTGCTTATGAGCATATTGAAACGAGAGAGACGCAAAACACGGTCATCTCTGTGAGGACTTAGTCATTTATTCATATATACTATATGGACCTTTCCTTCACACATAAAATACATTTCATATGTTTTAGAAGCCTGAAGTTATTTGTAATTTTCTAATCTTGAATTTATGAAAACATTTGGAAAAAATGCAGTTTGCTAGAAGAGCCAACATTTTTATTGTCCCACTGCAAAGCCTGTAATATTATTAACTGTTTTTTCTATAATTGCATAGAAACATAATTGGCATTTGTTGTACAATCATTCGAACAGATGTTGTAGATACCAGCATCCATTGCATTATATCTCCAAGGTACCAAATTATTCCCTCTTTAGCAAAAATCCTTGAAAGAGATTGTTTAGTACAATTTGAATTTCTAAAATGCCTGGTAAAAATGTGAGTAGGTCAAATATTGGCAAGGTAAATGACTCAGTTTTGAATAATTGGCAGCTTCACATAGTAAGCTCTTTGAAGGAAGACATAGTGTACTTGTATATTACTTGCATTTTAATACTTTCTGGGCGGTGGCAGTGTGTCATACTAGAGCTGGTCTTAGAGCCAGGAAGACCTGGATTTGAGTCCAACCTTTGACACATATTGGCTGTGTGACTTTGGGCAAGTCATTTAACCACTTAGTGCTTCTTGTCCTTGTTGAATCA